TCTTGGCTGTCGAATATGTATTTGTCGTTTTTGCCCAGTTTTCCAGTAGTGAGAGGCAAAGGAGTTACAGATTGCATCAAAACTCAAACTTGTTGGTCCGAATATCACTAAAAACCCTCTACCACCACATGATGTTTCAACAGTCAATATGATCAAGAAGGATTTTGAGGAAGGTTAAGAGGTGGCTACAATTACTCTCACCAATCAAGTTTCATCAACTCATAGATAGCCTTTAATATTGAAGGGGGCCAATGCTTAAAGTTTCACTCAGACAAGGTTGATCTTAGAACTAGTACTGATGAGGCTTGAATAAGTGAACAATGGAGTTTTCCCTATTGCTATCATTTTGGAATGAAATGTGTTTATCATGTTAGTCTTTATTTGCATTTTTCAAACTCCTTTCATATTGCAATTTGAATATCTGTTCTTCATGTTTTAAATCATGGTTTTTTAGTTCTTGATTTTATACTTCCATGAGTTGCGCTGTTAGTGAACTTGAATTCAATGTTGAACCCCATAAACAAAATCGAGGCTTGAGAAAAAAAGTAAAGGTTGAGAAATGAGGGAGGTGATTAAGGGGAAAATAATGGATGAGTAGGAGTAAGGGAAATGTACAAAGAGAAATTGATCTCAAAATTTGAAACAAACATTTCTATGATAGAAAGCTTGAGAATTCTTATCCTTACCATTTCAAACCTTTTGAAAACCTATGCCAAGGAACCATCTTTAAGAATCGCCGCAAATTGCACAAAAAAAAAAAAGAAAGAAAGAAGGGAAAATGGTGGAATTTTTGCTAACTTTGTTAGGTGATTGGTATCATTTTGATGCCTATGGTAGAAGATCCAAGGATAGAAGGCCTTCCTTTTGAAACTCTATTCCCTAAACCTTGAAAGATTACCCTTAGTTAAAGACTTTGAGGTTAATTTCAATGAACATTCTTTCATGACCAATTCAACAACTTGGGAATATCGTTGCATGCCAAACTAGGGGCAAATGTTACTTTCATTGGAAGATTTGGTAAAAATTATTTTGAAAAAAAAAA